GGAAGTGAGGTCCTGCGACAATTGATGCCTGTTGGAGTCTTTGGTCATTGTCTTCCCCAGCCTTGAGGCCTCTCAAGGGGAGGGGGGAGGGAGGTCCTGGCAGTAATTGGGTGTAGGCATTTTAGAGGAGACAGAGACTGTTGGTCATATATTCAGGGAAGACTTCTTAGAGGAGGTGCAGGTGTGTGGAAGGTGAAGAGCAGTGGGTTCAGACTTGGAAATCATACATTTGAGTCCCTACTTGTGGTATGACCTTGGACAAGTAAGCAGCTACCACTCAGGCCTATTTCCCTCATGTAAAATTAGGATAGAGGATTAAATCGTCATTTGAGGATTGTCCACTTCTAAATTCTGCAGATCTTTCATAAATTGGAGGTGAGTGTTGTAGATAGAGGGCACCGCCTGAGCAAAGAAAGACATAGCCAGGAGGCAGCAGGGTGTTCTTGGAAGGTCACGGAGAAGACTGGCATCTGATAACGTGGAAGCTAAAATGAGGTTTGAGGGTCATGCACAGGGCCCTTGAGTACCCAGCTACGAAGCTCACTTTGTCCCAGGGCTGAGGAAGGCGTAAAAGCAGGGTGAGCTCAGTCTGACACTGTGGATTTTTTAGATGTGTCTGAAAGGGCGATGAGGTAGGATATCTCGCTACTGTCCAGACGACTTACTGGCTGAGCCAGCCTTTTCTTGGGGAGGTGGGAAGGCTGTTTGGGGATGCGTCCTGGTTTCTAGCTGTTGGGTCCTTCTGTTGCAGACCTGCCCCACCAAGCTGAGTCCAGAGACCTTCCTGGCTTTTCGCATCAGTGCCGTGAGCAAAGTCACTGAGGACACCTACCAGGTCCGCTTTGCACTGCCCGGGAACAGCCACCTCGGCCTGCGGCCTGGCCAGCACCTCATCCTGCAGTAAGTCAAGTAGGGAGAGGACCAAAGCTTTGCAGTTCTGCGTTGCCATTTGCTAGCTCTGTGGCCTAAAGCAACCTCCCTTAAGTTTCCCCTTGTCCTTTTCAAAATAGCTATAATAATATGTGACTCACAGGGTTCTTGGGATTGAACTAGATAATGCATTTTCATACTACATAATGATAACAGCAAACACTTTATAGCACCTACTATCCAGAGCACAGTCCTGTGTGCTTGCGTACATGAACTCATTTAATCTTCACAGATCCTATCTGGTAGGTACAATTACCATGCACAAGTGGAAACCAAAGTCAGAGAGGTTCAAACCTTGCCCAGGGTCACACAGTTAGGAATTGTTTGAACCATTAAACCAAGATTTGAAGGCAAGTAGTCTGGCTCTAGAGCCTGTGGCATTTACCTAATGTGATTAGCACCAGTTGATGGAAAGGACGCACATACAGGCAGCCTGGCTCCCAGGCCACTCTCATGTTCCTTCTTCCTCCTGGCTTATTTTTATACTCTCTTCCCTCCTCAATCCCACCCCCAACCTGCTCAGAGACAAGACTCTCAGCTACCTCCAAATAGTGGTGGTTGCCAGAGTCTGAGGCTCAGTAGGGAGCTCTGAGCTGCAGATACGGGTGTGGGAATCATCACCAAGCACCTGCATGGCATTTGGGAGCTGGTGTGGGGAAGGAGAGGAAGGGCAGAGGACTGAACCCTGGCAGCGCCAGCATTTATGGCATTGGCAAGAGGAGGAATAGCAGCAAGGGAAAAGGTGGCCCAGCCAGAGGGCTGGCAGGAAAACCAGAAGTGAGTGTGTCTGGTCACACTCTGGCCTTTTGCCTTGCACTGACCCTGGTGTCTGTGCCCAGCTGCTTCATGCCTGTGGCCCAGCTGGTGGTCCTCAGAGCTCACTATTCCAGGGGACAAGCAGGGCCCATGCTGCCTCCCATCGCTCAGGGATGCCGGGGCTCCCTGCCTGTCAGCCATACCCCTTCCTCCACCCTCTGCCACTCCAGGGACTTTCCTCACACACACCGCTGACCACGTCCCTCCCTGTTCAGACACCTCCTGTGCTCCGTGATGCCGCCCCAGTGACATCTAACTGCGCCCCAGCGTCCATTTGACCAAATTCTCCCTGGGCCCATTCTTGCCCTTGTTCCAACCTCATGATCCACTCACCAGCTCCTGACAAGACCTTCTGAGCTTTTGCCAGGCTCCTCTCTCTGCTTAGAATTACTTCACTCCCTGCTTCATGTCCCTTCTAAGCCTTTAAGGCCTGGTCATCCTTCCATACCAGCTCCAGAGCCCTCTTCGCTGCCCTGGCAGAGCGGCTGCTTCCTCTCTAGCACATCAGTTTTTACCTGTTGTAGAAAACACCATCGTCTGCTTGCATCCGAGCCGTACCATAGTTTCCTCATCTGTTCTATGAGCATTTACTGACTGTTTCTTCCCAGCTCCCCTGCTTTTGATTTATTGAGATGGCACCTTTGTCATTTCTGCATGCCTCAGAAAAGAGGGGTTTGCATGTAGTAAGATATGAGAGAGGAGTGTGCTCAGTGCTCCTGGGAAGCTCTGAGGAGTAGCGGTGAGGGTCTTGGCTCTGAGGCAGATAGAGCCGTGGGTGAATTCTAGTTGTGCGACCTGGGGCAAGCAGACACCTTTCTCTAAGCTTTGATTTCCTCGGCTGGTTTATTGTTTAAGTTAGATGAAGTTGTGCATGTAATTTGCTTGGCGCACAGTAAGCATTTAAAACCCCTTGGCCTCTCTACTCATGGTTATCATCCGACCCCTGTTAACATGTGAGAAGGATTGCGCGTGGCCTTTGGCTTGGGACAGGGCACGTTGGATGATCCTTCCAATTCCAAGGCTCCTGGCACATGGCAGTGGATGTTTAGCAAATGTTATAGTTCTGTATGGCTTTGTTAATTATGCTCAGGAAAAGCCACAGTGAAGTCTGCCAAATAACTCACATCCCCCGTGTACCCCCCTCTGTGATCCCAGTAGAACGACACAACGGGAATGCAGGTGATGGTTCCCGTTTTCCAGAAGGGGCAGCTGAGGGGTCAGACACCTTGCCCAGATGTCACATAGCAGTGGGGAGCCAATGTTGTCTTCCCCTGCTTTACCTTGCCTGCCCCTCAGTGAGCACCTCGGAGGCTGACCCAGCAGCACCTTCACTTTCACCAGCACAGTACAGAGTAGGTACCTATCAGGGCTTGTTGAGTGGCTGACTGAGCACTTCTCTTTCCCAGAGGGCGAGTAGATGACTTAGAGATTCAGAGAGCATACACGCCCATCAGCCCTGCCAACGCAAAAGGTTACTTTGAAGTTTTGATCAAGGTGAGTTGACATGGGATGGCCTAAGAGCCCATGGATGAGGGCCCCTATTTGCCAGCCTGGTTGGGATGGGGCAGTGCCCATCAGTGTGGGAAAAGCCAGTGCTCACATGGGAGGAGGCTGCTTGAAGGACCAGCGGGGGCAGGTGAGGAGGCATTGTCATCTTTCCTGGGGTGGACCACCCACAGAGGGCATGTCCCTGACAGGTTGTACAGAGAGGAGCTCGCCTCTCTTCTGTGGATGGAGAGTGAACACTGAGCAGGCCTAGGAGGGGTGGGGAGTTGACGGGAGAAGGAATGGGGGAGAGTGGGCAACCAAGTCACCTGGCGTCTCCTGTGTCCTGGGCACCAGGGTTGAGAGATGAGCCAGACACAGTGGCTGCCCTCAGAAGGGGGCCAGGCCACTGTGGTCAGGACAATGAGGTCAGCGCTGTGACAGGAAGCTGGGGTGCAGGGAGGAGTGTTTAAGGTAAGCATTGGGGAAGTAAATGGGAGAGATGGAAGGCAGCGCTGGGTGCTGGAGACGGCATGCGTAGTGCAAAGGGCATGATTTGAGGACCTGTTTGCCATGGAATAGAACGGGGCTTGCAGGCAAAAGGTAGGGCCAAGAGGGCCCTGTGGACCTTACTAACCTCAGATCACCTCTCAGGGGGATGGGCGGGAGGCTGGGTATTTGGATTAGACTTCGGGGAAGTGGCATTCCAGGCTGAGGGACAGAGCCAGTCAGAGCTCTGTTTTGTGCAACTGGAGAACAGGTGCATAATGGGGCAGCTGAGGTGGTTGGGGAAGTGGCAGAGATGAGATGAACACGGGGAGCTGGATACAAAAACACCCCAAAGACCCAAGGAATGGGTAACCCATGTACTGGAAGTCATGCAAGTCGAGTTGTGTGGAAAACAGTGCTCAGGTTGAGTGCCACGAAACTGCTGCTACGGTAACATGTTATAGGAACAGCAGCTTCGTATGTGTCGAGGTAATACATAGTTTACATCGTGATTTCCCAAAAAGGAATCCTGGGGAACATCAGTGTGTTAGAATAGCTTTCATGTCCTTTATCTCCTTTTCAGACAGCAATTCTTGTCCCCACTTCTTTGACAAGTAAGCTGAGGCCCCAGGAGCCCCCAGCTCCACAGGTGGGAAGAAGCACTGCTTATGAGTGAGCCCTGACCCCTGACTCCAGGGCCCCAGCATCATCTCTGGCTTCTGCCTTTGCTGCCCGGCTCTATAGCCTGACTGTTTATTCCCTCGCACATAAGCTTGGATGGGATCCCTTCTCCACGCAACTGTTTGTCTGGGAGATTCCACAAATCCTCTCCAAATGACCTGCTTCCCCAAGCTGCTTGTCTGGGTGTGTTTCTGTTGAAAGGATAAGCCTGGAGACAGTTCTTCAGGGCAGCTGGATATGCCTCCCAGCTGCAAGGCTGATTTTCTCCTTCGTTTACCAGAAAGCCTCTCTTTGGAGAGATGCTTAATTATCCCTAAGCCGCTGGCTAGGAAGAGCTGGAAATGTCTTTGCAAACTGGGAAGGCAGATGGATTTTTTTACATTCATCCTCCCATGTAGCTGGGAAAGAGGAACTCCCGTTTTGTCGGCACCAGGCACTGCTCCTGGCTCTTTATTTTCATTCTCTTAGTTCAGCCTCACAACCACCCCACAGAGTAGGTCATATTATCCCTATTTTATAGATAAAGAAGCTGAAGCTCGGAGCGATGATGAGTGTTGTCCCAAGGCCCATTGGGTGACACGGTCTCAAGTAGAAGAACAAAAGTTCATTGCCAGTTGTATTTAACAAGTGGATATGGAGCCAGGTTTTTTGTAGGTTCTGGAGACCCAGAAGAATCTTTTCTTTTTCCTTGAGTGCTATCTGCCATAGGCCTCTGTGCCATAACTGGGGCGATACGTCTCCCAAGACTGGAGTCAGAAAATAAGTGTGTTCTGAGGCACAACCTCCAACAGGTCAGGAGGAAAAGGGTACAGTGAGCAGAGCACCTCCTTTGCTTTATGCACATGGCGCCCTAAGAAGTCAGGAAGGAGCCAGAGGTAGCTGTGGGTACTTAAAGCACATCCTTCAAGCATGTTCTAACCTCCCTCCAAACACCTAGTCCTGTCTCCTACTGCTTTCCCCCCTTACCTCATCCTACTGCACTCTCTCCAGAGCTATCTTACCTCTGACCACACCTCATCTGATACCCAGCATTCTGTCTTTCTGCTCCCATCCCCAGTGAAAGCAATCTTGCCCATCCTTCAAGAGCTAGCTCAAATGCTTCCTCCTCCAGGAAGCTGCCCTTGATACTACTATATGGAAATAGTACTGTCTCAGGGATCTCCCAGCACTTTGTTCTTCTCGGGTAGTAAGAGTTTCCACTTTGTATATACCTGAGATTTGGATCCCTCCTAGATTGTGAGGTCCTTTAGGAGAAGGCCTGAATCTGGTTTCACTGACTAATTCGTTCAGATATTTATTAATTAGGCACCAGTTCAGGCATCGGCTGCATTCATGGATTTTAAGTTCCAGTTGTCTCCCCTGCACCCAACATGGTGCCTGCGGCAGAGTGGACAGGCCCCCTGGGAAATGTAAACTGCCCTGTAATCCGGGGAAATCCCTTTTATAACCTTCATTTATTTTATCCAGTCGGGAGACAGTATAGGATAATGCAGAGATTGCAAATTATTGGCCTACAAACTAATTCTGTCTTTTAAATATATTTGGTTTTGGCTTGTACAGTGTTTTTAAAAAATTAAATTACTTGTAAGCTTTTCAGAAATGGGGGATTTTACGTACAGGTTGGATTGTTTGCCCCTCTTGGAAAACCAAAAGATCTGGCTTCATTGGCCCTAGGAACTATGCACTGGAATCTGAAAAGTGATTTCCTCCTTGAGATGGAGTATTTACTCACCAACTTACCACAGTCCATACCACTCCTCCTGTCTCCCTGACACTGAGGCAGTGATAATGGCTGTTAACTATCTCAGACTCAGTTCTTCACTCAGTGACGTGACCTGCAGAGTCCCTGCAGTTACCTGGGTTTGAGACCTCTGTAGTTAAGTTTGTTGATCCTCACCCCAGTCTCCCTATTTCCCTCCATGTCAGCTTCTGGGCTTCATTTGAAATTGATGGTACCAACTTCATGGGGTGATCAGGAGGATGAAATAACACGACGCATGTAAAACATTCAGGGTGCAGGAAGGGCTCCCCGTTAATGTCGGTTGCGATTTGTATTGGCAGCATGTGCAATGAGGGTCCCCTCTGTTTGCTCCCAGAGCTACCAGACCGGGCTGATGTCCCAGTACGTCAAGTCCTGGAGAGCAGGAGACATGGCTTTCTGGCGGGGACCTTTTGGCGGCTTTGTCTATGAACCCAACCAGGTCAGTGCCAGCACACTGAGTCTTCAGAGACCCCGTCCCGCTCAGCCTTCAGGATGAAGGTTTCAGGTTGCAGCACACAGCTCTCACGCTGCCTTTCTCCCATGAGCCGAGAAAGCCCATCCACTGGGGTTGGACATGGGAAGAGATGGAGCAGGCACTACAAGATAGAACTGCCTGCCCATGTTCCAGAAGTATCTGTGGCTGCCCATTGCTTGGGGAAACCCAGGCTCATGTACTTGGTATCTAGGAACCCCATCTCATGTGCCCCTCAGATTTCTTTCCAGCTTCACATTCCAGTCACAACATGGTATAAGCTGCTCCCTAAATATACCCATGGCTTGCTGCTCAGGAGCAGGTAATTGGAGTCTGCTGAATATCCAACAACAGGGGAAGAGTCCGGTGCATCAGGTTTCAGAGATTTGATAGAGTATTATTCGGGATTTTAGAATTATGTTTATAAATGGTGTTATATTCTTATAAGATCAAGTGACAAGTGCTAGGTGCAAAATGAATATACAACAGATTGGGAAGAGAAATTAAAATGCATAGGAAAAATATGAAAAGAAAATGCAATGAGATGTTAGCAGCTCTGGGTGGTAGAATTATGGGTGATTTTTATTTTCTTCATTATACTTCCCAAATTATCCACAATGAACACCTATTACCTTTATAATTAGGAAAGCCGAGCCAAGCAAAAGCAAATAGAAAAGAATGAATCATTCCTTCTCTATTCTTTTTTTGTTTCATTTAAAAATAGCTTTTATTGGTTTTTTTCCTTATTACAGATGCAGTGCGTGTTCATTACCAAAAAAATCATCAGCTATAGAGAGGCACGAAGAAAATAAAGAACACCTGCAGGCCATACTCAGACCTGCCAGTCTTACTATTTCGGCATCTGTCCTTCCCAATCCTCTTTCACAAATGGGCGTATAGACACGCTCATGCTTTCATGCATCTAATGACATCAAGTCCGCATGTTGCACTGCTGTGTGCAGGCTCTGATTCGAGCACCTGTCGTGCAGTAACTCATGCAGTCCTCCCGACAGCCTTTACGTTCTGTTGCCCCCATTTTACAGATACGGAGGTGTGCACATATTAATACTTTGCTATACTCTTCTGCTAGTGCTAACCATGCTCAGCTTTATACTTTAGCCAGGGGTATTCCAGTATCCTCCAGGCTATTGAAAGCAGGAATTGTCCCTATTTCCTCCCACCCTGGAGGGGACCATTTAAATGTGGTCTTGCCCTTGTTTTCTGAGTGGAACCTGCTGATGATTTATAACTATCCTCTTTGTGCACAGGGCCTCCCTATGGGAGAAGCAGCAGCTCTGGGCAGGACTGGATGGAAAGGTGGGGAAAGCCTTAGGGCGCAGGCATCGCTTTCATGTGAGTGGCTGAAGACCTCCCCAGCCAGGGGAGTGGGCCTGGAGCAGAGCAGACTGCCTTGGGAGATGGCAGGCTCCCAGTCAGCTGACGTGTGTAAAGAAGTGCATAAAGAGAGTCCTGTGGAATGTTTTAGAAGGCACGCAAGCCTCTTGTAGGATGGGCTGCATCATTATGTTCCCTTGAAGCCCCTAGATTTCCATATTTCCATGTTCTGTTGCACTATAGTCTTTCACAAGCCAGGATGACTTCCTGGAGGAGGGAGAAGGGGAGCTTGGATGAGTGGGACACCCAGGTAGGGCAGTTCAACGAGGCCCAGAAATGGCCCCATAGTGTGTGTGTGTGTGTGTGTGTGTGTGTGTGTGTGTGTGTGTGTGTGTGTAATGAGACTCCCCCATCTCACCCCGGTCATACCCCTCTCCTGTTCCCCAGTATGGTGAGCTCCTCATGCTGGCAGCGGGGACTGGCCTGGCCCCTATGGTGTCCATCGTGCAGAGCATCACAGACAATGCGGATGATGAGACCTTTGTCACCCTGGTCGCCTGCTTCAAGACCTTTGAAAGTATCTACCTGAAAACCTTCCTCCAGGAGCAGGCCCATTTCTGGAATGTCCGCACCTTCTTTGTACTCAGCCAGGTGAGCCCAAGGTGATAACTTCCCTGATTGAGACTCTGTGACCCCTTGCACGCGTCCCAAGGAGCTGCTGTGGCCTCCCAGTCTGGCTCCGTCCCAATGCTGGTCACTCATGGAGCCCCACCACGTGCCTGACCGGAGAGGCAAGTTTTGTCGTGTTCGCCATACTGATGAGGACGCTAATGCTTGGGTGAGGGTGCCTGCCCATGTCATGTGGCTGGATGGGGGGAAGCCAGGATCTGAGCCCTACTAGGGCGGCATGGTCCCAGAGCTCCAGCTCACCCCCCGTGTTCCGCTGCCGGCCAGCCCCCTCCGGCTTTCTCGGCTGTGTGGCCTGGGGGTCCTGTTGTGAGTCAGTGGCAGACGATAGATGTCTTCTAGGCATGACAAGCTCTGGGAGCCAGTGGTCACAGGTCTGGGTTATTGTTAGATGATCTGATCTGGACATTCTTAGAGCCTTGCACAGTGCTGGAGCAAACTGGGTCCTAGTTCTCTGCATTTATTAGGCTGCCAATAACACAATGTGTACCTGCATGGAAGAAAGCTGCTTTCCAGCTGTCTAAGCTGCAGATACTCTTAACTGGAGGCAGTTCTGCCCCCAACCCCTCCAGCCACTCAGGTGGCTCTTCCTGGGCCTTCCCATCTGGGAGAAGAGTGGGAGACCATCTGGTCCTCTTATCTCAAGTCAAGTCCTCAGCTGTCTTTGTTCACCTACCCTCCCCTAGTCTGTGGCTTTATGTCTCTTTCCTGCACCCCCAGGTTGGGGTCCTCACCTGGGGCCTCCTCTCCTTTCTTTGGAGCTCAGATCAACCTCACTGTCCTGCACTCTGGAGCATCGTTTCTTCGTTGAGGCAGACTATGGGATCCTTGATGCAGAGCCTGGGTAGACATGGGAGTATCAGGACATGGGTTCCCCTTCCCAATACTGAAGGTCCTGGGACCCCTGGGGGCTGGGATGCAACGGGCCTGTCTGTGAGGCAGAGCTCTGTGGCACAAGCATCGAGAGGGCCATGCCTGGCGAATGTCAGCAGCAGCAGCGTCCAAGGTAGAGGAAAGAAGCAGAGGCTAGGGCGCTGCCCAGGGGTGGTCTGAGGCAGCACTGCCGGCCCCACCTGGGCAGGGAGCGTGGCAGGAGTGTGGGCACCTGGCAGTCACCAGCTGTTGGCCAGCCTTCCTCCCCACCCCCCTGACCCCCACAATCTGCCATCTTCACAAAAGCGAAGACTCCCTGTTCCCTGCCCTCCAGGTAGTCATGTGATTATGGGAGACAGAGACAGGGATGGCTGAGAGGGGCTCCCCTTTATTGAATTTCTCTCTGTGCCTGGCACGCTATTGAATACATTCTGTGTGTTAACTCATTTAACCCCTACTTGTGCTGCTGTCAGTCTCATTTTGCTCATGTGGAAACTGAGACACAGAGATAGGTGAAGAGGGAGGGATGAACCTGGTGGTCCTGCTTTGTAGGCTGTGCTTGGGGCACAGTAGAGAGCTAAGTACTTGTGGAGGGTATTTGGGATGCTGGTGGCAAGCAGGGAGGGCTTCTTGGAGGAGATGGCATTTGAGCCTGGGGTTGAGACCAGAGTTAAATTTCACCCTGCTGGGGGCCTTCGACCTTGTACCTGGGCTTCAGTGATGCTGGTGGCCTTGCAGGGGACAGGTGAGTGAGCTGGCTGTCAACAGCAGGGACAGGTGGCATGGGAGGCCCCTGGACTCAGGACGGTCACTTTCCTGCCATGGCTGCAGTAATGGCATCCTCCAGGGCCTCAGCTCCAGTTATGCCCTGCCAGTATGTTGTTCATCCTGCAGCCCCAAGGGCAACTCTGCCCCACCACTGCCCTACCTCCAGCCCTTCCCTAGCTCCCCTCTGCTCTCGGGAAAGTGTCCAAGCCTACGTGGACAGGGCAGCTTCTCCAGCCTGGCGCTCTGTCTGCCCAATGTGTACCGTGTGCTGGCCTCACTGGCTAGCTCAGGACTGCAAGAACACTGCTGCCCTGCCTTTGGGTCTGGGTCAGACAGCTCCCCAGCCATGAACCCTTCTTCCCCACTTGTTTGCCTCATACAACCCTCACACCTCTGCAGGGATGTGATTCCATCCTGGAAGCTTTCCCAGAG